ACTAATTACTTCCAGTGTAAAAGAAGATTCTTAATCAAGCAGTAATCCCATGGGTCAACATGAAATTAAAAATATGTATTTGCCATAAATAATTTGGGGGTTTTTGACTGAAGGCAACTCACTTGAGTTGCACTGTTTTAAAATACTACGCTTGCAATACTATATTCTGTAAGTGATGAATAAACATCAAAAATGCTGCAAAGAAAACTGTGACAGTAAATGCAAATGATAAACAACCCTTTAAGATTTACGCTGGAGAGTTCATTAAAGCTTCCAGTGAGGATTGCAGAAATGTTATAAGCAGCTCTAAATTCACATTAAGGTTTAAGCCATGTTAGATTTTGACTAGAAATGGTACACCAAATAATATAGGAACTCAATCCAAAAGGAAAAAAAAAATAAAATAATGTTGTAAGTATAGAATTTAGCTATCCATATTCAGTTAAAAGGAAATGCTCCCACAGAAGGGAGAGTGAATTACAATAAAAAAGAAAATCTAATTAAAATGGAAAAAGGAAAAATATAGGAGAACTACATCCTCAACTTGCAATTTTAGCTTTCATGGCACTTAATGACAACCCAAGATTGTGAATGAAAAGAAGAAATTTTCTCTTGTTATTGTCTTAATATTGTCAGATATAGTTAAGTTTATAATGAGAAATCTGAGATCTTTATTTTCTGTTTTATCTTATTATTAAAGAAGCATAGGCATTTGCATTCTTCCTGATACCCAAGATAAAGATTAGTGAGGACTCCTACTTTGTGGAATAGGTATCACAGAATTTTTAGAAGTGCCACTTACATATACTGTGGCATTTAACACAACCTTCTGCCCATGAGTTTAAAAACAAATTATTCAAGTTAACATGGTTGGGACATAAAAGCAACAACAAAAAATTCTGCTGAGAGGGAAAATAGCAAGGATATTTAGGTAAGCTTTTAATATTAAGCTTAATTGATATTTTTTTTATTTTTTTTTTAATGAAGGAGTAGTAAAGAATATTTCCTGATACTGAGAAAGCCATAAATATTTTCAAAGTAATTTGTCTGTGATCTTTTCTCTTTTATTGTACCATTTTCAGACATAATGTTCACTCAACTGAATATGTAGCAGTTAAAGATTTTGCACATGTAAAAATGGTCCTTGAATTTTGAAGATGATTTCTGAGAGTTTGAAGTTGCTTATCCAGTTGAGGTTTGGGTTTGATATGGCCATGTGTCTAATCTCATTGTAATCAATTGAGAGCTATAGCTTAAGTTACTTGAACGCTTGTGGCTGATTGTGGTGTGTTGATCTTAAGAGGTTGCCAGGTGTCCACTAAGCCTCTCTATCACTCTCCCTTTGCATCAGGACCAGGGCAGAAAGTAAGATGTAAAACTTGTTGGTCAAGATAAAGACCAGGAGATTGCTTACCAATCACTGTCATGGAGAAAACAGACTTGACTTAAGGGAAATTAATGTAATGGTAGTTAATAACAGAGTAGGACTTTTAGAAATAATTTTTAACTCACTAGGTGGGTCTTTTCCATGGGATGCAGTCAATTGTGAATTTTTAATTTCTCATGTTTGATTTAGTTGCCCTAATCTAATCTTCATATAACTGAAAACAGTTGCAGAGCAAGGTGAACAGCTCTGATGGGAGATTAACAGCTAGCATGTGTTACAAACCATGTGACTCATGCACTTGAAGTCCCCTTTACATAGTTTCCTTGCAACAATTGCAGCATGATGAGCAGAGCCACTTGCTCCCTGATGCTCAGCTCACAGTGCAGAGTGAAGCTCCATCTGCTGATCCAGGTACAGTTCTGCTGGTGGAGAGTTGGTGGTGTAGAAGTGTCTGACAGATAGTTGTCTGGTGGAGAGTTGGTTGTGGCAGAGAGTTCATGGCAGACAGTTGTCTTAGACCCAAGCACACAGGACAGACAGTCAATTCGAAGTACGAGACAATTCTCATTAATTTACTGGTATATACTTATTGAATCCTTCTTTACCCAATAAATGTGAATTATTAATATGTTAATGAGCTAATCTGATGTTGCTTAATTATTAGCAAGATGATTGCAATATAGTCATGGTTCTGAGTGGGTGCTGAATCCCAGATTAACTCTTAAGATTACCTCCCGGTTGCTAACTGCACAGGAACACCTTTCATTTACAAAGAGCAGGGAAAAACATGCAACATTTAGAATTCTGCCATGTGTCTGTTGGCAGATTTATTATTTCCTTTTTCCTTTGTAAAATATGCTTTTTTTTTTCCCCCCAACTTAACAGATAGAAATGCCAAAGTCTGTGTATATATATACGCAATCATATAAGTGCATTCATATATATGATTTTTTTGAAAATCTGCAATTTTAAGCTCTCTATTCTGAAAGAAATAAAAATTCCTATTCAATGAACAGTGGAGAGATCCACACAAAGCATATTTTTGAGAAGTCAGTTGAGCGCACATGGCTATTGAGACTTAGTTGCTTTTGTGTACTGTTTGGGTGACTGATATGTAACATGAGCTTTTTGTCACTACCTATCAGGTTTTGTTAGAAACTTAGAGCCTAGAGGTACATAGATTCATCAAGTCATTCTATAAACTTAGAATTGACAGTTACTCCGTTTTTCTTTTTAAGTGTTGTTCAGTCTTCAGTGTTCTCATGGCTTGCTATAGGATAGCACATATTAGATACACCATGTTTTCTTTCTTGCCCTAAAATAGCATGTGTTCTTTTCCCTGTTGACTCTGAAAAAGTAAATTATTTCTGCTTTGAGGGAACAAGTAATTCCAATATAGAAAACTGAAGACGATATTTTGTTGGCAAGCATGTCTGAGGCTAGAGGAAAACTAAGATGCAGGAGGGAAAGGAGTTTTTCATGAGCAAGCCAGAGACAAAGGACAGAATAGACAATGATTGACATTGGTACATGGTCACAGGTAATAGAAAAGAGTAGCAAATTCTTTATTTGTTCCCAATATATATATATATATATTATTTTTTTACCAGAAGTAGATTTTGGGTTCCACATCTTGAAACATAGCCAGAACAAACACTTCATCACCCACTGGTGAATTGTGCCTCAAGGTCTTCCAAACCAGAGGTGGTACCTCATTACTATTGAATATATTTTACCTCCTGTGAGGATATTGTTGTTCCAGAGAGACTGATTAAAATTTTGGTTTTGAGAGGAGGATAAACAAAATGTGAACCCAGAGAGATTGCAAAAAGGAACAGACACTGTTTTCTCCTATTTATTATTTTGTTGTCACCTTGGAAATTCCTGAAAATGTCTAATCATTAAGTTAGTCTGCTCTAATAGACAAAAGAAGAAGAGAAAATTAGAAGGGAAAGCAGTCTATGAACAGTAAATGTTTACCTGCTGTAAGAAGAGCTGTAGAGCACCCCTGTCAGTAAAGACACCCAGTATCAACTGATTTCCTCTACAGGGGAACAAATCAGATTTAAAAACAATAAATGTTCAACTCTTTTGTGAACTAGCATAATAAGTATGGAAAAAAATCATGTCATACATGTGAGTTCTCAGTCCATGTAATGTGAGATTCTACGCAGTTGGCAGCACAATATTGCTAGACTTTTCTTAAAGTATATAAGTGATTGAGCTTTGTTTCTTTCATTTGTTTTCTTCTTTTGATTAATAAATGCACTAACAATGTGGAGGGAATTCTGTATAATCCAAGGTGTATGTGGAAACAGTTGTCAAAATTGCCATGCAATATTCTATAATAAAAGAAAGGAAAATATCTTATAATGGAATAAAAAACAGGAATCCGTTTTATTCTGTGTTAGAAAAGAAACCAGAAAAATACCAGTCTGAATTTAGTTGTTGTAAAGGCAGAGAAGTCTCTTAATGTGAAGAAAATATTTCTGTGTCCATAAACTCATTATAAGCTATGAGTTACCTGCTATGATTCTCAATGATGAAAAAGTTGATTATGTATTCTCACTGCAGATCAGTATTTGAAAAAACGTGACATCCTGAAGACACCTGACCTTTTGTGATGACTGTGTCAACATGCCTTTAAAGCAAGATTTAGAGCTGTTTGGTGCCTTTGGAGCTACAAAAAGCAGCTGATCATTACAAATTAATTGATCCTTTTGATTTCTCACTTTTCATTTTTTACCTCAACACTGGAACACAGAATTTACAAAAGGCATCATCTTTCAATTTTAAGTGCAATTATCAAATCCCTTTCACTTCAGTTCAACCTATAAAACACTTCCTAAGGGAAAAATTTCTGTCCTGGAATCCATTTAACTTTGGTTATATTGAGATTATGAAATATCTGATATATTATTTTTGTTAAATATTGATGAACATAAGAGAGTTCAAAAAGAATCTTTATCACTCAAGTTCAAAAACTTGTCTTGCTTCTTTGAGTGAGCTGCTTCACTTAACCAATCTTCTTTTACAGGTGGTACAAAACAGTAGGGATAAATCTGTAGGTAAAACGGGTAATGCAGAGGACCTGACTTCTGTAGGATATATTTTTCGGGGTTTTTGACTTTGCACAATCAGTTTTGGTTGTTTGGTTTTGTGGGGTTTTTTTAGTAAACAGGATGTTCAACTCCTTACAGTTTACTGAAGGCTGAAGGATTGTTAGTAAAGTTTATTAAAAATGCACCTCAGAGAACAATGAAGAGTACCTCTGGAGCATGAAATATGTTTCACTAATAAGTTGGGTTTTTTTAATACCAAGAGGTTATTTTGTTAACAATTGGGACATCTGCATGATTGGAAAATTTTCAGAAAGACAAAGTGCTAATTTCTATGTCTGTTTCATAGCCATGTGTTAAGCTGCCACTAAGTTTATATTGCAGGAAGCCAAAACAAAATAGAATTGAATATCATGCTCTGTCTTGTTGCCCACGGGTATTAATAATGTATCACTCCTGGTAATTTATAATTACTACTAAAATATGTATTTAATATATGAAGTTTTTAATGCATACATCACTGTAAATGACACCACTTTCTAACTCTTTTGCAGACTTGTCCTCAGTTCTGTCTCTGACTATTTTGCTGCCATGTTTACAAGTGATGTTTGTGAAGCTAAGCAAGAAGAGATCAAAATGGAAGGCATAGACCCCAATGCACTGTGGGATCTTGTTCAGTTTGCATATACAGGTACTGTACAGCATACATTATACTTGACAAAGAGAAAGATGTTGACAATTTTGTTTTCTACATTCTAATAAATTGTATTTCTACATATTTTTTAAATCTCAGTTGATTAAAACACTTATTTACCATTTCTAGGGATGAATTCAGATTTTTCTCTTATCTCCAAACTGTTAAATACGTCAGGCTTGGCAAGCACAAGAGAACAGTCTAGAAAAATATTTTTTTCTTGGCTTTCAAATGCTTACAAAGAGTGCCTCATATGCACATGATTCAGATTACATGAGATAATTGAAGGAACAGCTGTATTTTTTTTTAATAGTAGACCTATATTACTTAGTCAAATTTCACTTTTAATAATCATATAAATCTTCCAAAGTTTTAAATAATAAAATATTTTTTAAATGTTTTATTAGAAACTGGGTGTCGTCACTTTCATTTCCTGTTGTAGGCTGGTACTCTGTTGTATAATGGAAACTTATTAATAGCTCATAGCTCAGAGTAGACTACTGAGAACTTCCTTCTGAATAGTTATTACATTTTAATGCAGAATAGATTTGGGTTTTATCCTTCTTGAACCAGCTGTTATGCACAATGTATCTGAAGACCATTAAAAGGAACCAATACTAAATTTACCAAATAAAATAATTAAAAGAGGAAATGAAGTAACAAAATTAGTAGTCTGAATTTGTCTCCTCTTGCCTATGAATCATGTAGAATACAATATATGTTGTTTTCTACTTTTTTTCCTAAAAGACATCCCTAAATTGCTTAAATTAGCAGTATTCTATCATGATGCTTCCATTGAATATTTGATTTTAGATTTGATTTTAAATGGATAGCCTATACTCTGCAGCTTTTATCCTCTCTAAATATACATATATTAATTTAATCATAAGTTGTTGTGTGCTTTGTTATATTTAATCAGGATATCTGCTGTTGATTTTATGACATAATAACTTTACTGTCTTAATAGGAAACAGAAACTGCAAATAAACATAATTTACATTTAAAAATGCTCTTTTTGTTAGAAAACGGTTAGAAAATACAGGCTGTAAAATGTCAGACCATCTTCATTTGTGTAGTTCAAAGGGTAATACCTACTCCCTTCAGCTGTAGTTTTGCCATTTATGAATGTGCATTGTCCAGACGGTTTCAAACTAGGGATACGTGAAATGCAGAACATGTTTGTAGTTTTTATCAAGCATGAGAATGATACAATTTGATCACTAGGTATGAGTGTAAAATGAATGGCATAGGAATACTGGGGTGGAATCAGGAGCACCAGGTTGTTCCCCTGGGAATGTAACTATGGAAGTACTCAAGTACTGCATGATTCTTTCGCTTCAGTTTTCACCAAAAGATCATGTGCAAATACACAGCAACTTATTATTGACAAAAAAAAAGATAACGTGTATGTGTAGATTAAGAAGAAGGTACAGAAGGAAGCAAAAAAGTAAAATACTTAGCTTCATTCATACTGAAAATTATTATCTCAAAATTTAATCTTATGCAGACAGTGGAAGGAGTTTGCTTCTCTCAGTTTTTATTACATCAACCAGCCTCCAAAGTTCTCAAAGACAATCAATTAAGATTTTCAGCTATTTTATTCTACTTGATTTGTCTATGCCATATGATGTATTTTGTGCATTTTATGAGGTGGAAAGCTTGAAGGTTTCTTCCTGTGATTAGGTAAATAAGGATTTCCCAAATGGATGAGCTCTACTGATGGTGTAATTCCAATGTGTTCTAATTTGCCTCATGTGAACTTGCATCTGTAATGTTCTTCCATTTGAACCATCACATAAAGCCCAAACTACCTCAAATATGGCAACATTATGTTCTATCTTAATGTCACCTTGGAGAATTAGAAACTTAAGGTGGTAACAAAGGTCTCTAATTTCTGTTACTTGCAGTGGTAATACATCATCATATTTTTATTTCTAACCCATTGTGGAGACCAAGTAAGACTTAAATATGTCTTCTTAAATTTACCCTTGAAAAGGAAATTTTATAAATACTTGTTGACAGGAGAAGAGTGAGAAGATTCAGGAGACATGAGACCATTTTGTGTGCTAAAGAGAACATGTATTGGATGCCATGAACCATTCTGGTTTTGATTAGTCTGTCTTGCATTTCTGTTCCATCAGGTTCTTTTTCCTGATTTATTCTGACTTAGCCTGATTTATTTTCAGCTTGTATCCTTATCTTTTGAAATACACATTAGATTTTTTCTTTCTCTTTTCCTTTTCCCTGCGTCAGCTATCTTATCAAACTCCTACATTTCCAAGCTAAAGTCACACAGGTAAATTAAACAGTGCTGAGGAACATTTGTAGGCAACACAATTGTAGGAACACAATTATCTACATAGATCCCAGCAATTTTAGGCAAATTCAACCAGCAGTCTCTCTAACAAACCTTGGATATATCTTGGATATGCAGGCTCATTATGAATGTGACCATCCTTATAAGGAATCATCATGAATGTGGCCTGGAGGGCAAGAATACTAGGAGTTCTATGGACAGTTCAGTGATAAGTGACAAGTGATCAGGGAATTTTTAGAACCTGGTCCCAAACTTAAGCAGCTCACTGAAATTAAACACAGTCTTTACTCCCTGGTTAATTTGTTTTCCCATGTTTTTTTTGTTCTTTTCCCTTTCCCTTTAATTTCCACCATTTCTCATGTTTTATCTAGCTTCATTGCCACCAGTCTAGTTCATGTACCACTTTGTTTTGTTGGGGTATTTTTTGAGTCAGTTTGCTTTCTTCTTTGTGCTGCATAGATGTGGGTAAGAGGAACACTGAAAAGTAAAGGAAATAGATGTTGTTCTGATACCCAGCAGTGTAGCAGCCAAGAGAAATTCCCATTCAGCCTTCTAGTCTGTAACCTGGAGCATAAATAGTCTAAACAAGGTATCTGGAAAATTTTGCTACCAAATTCCCAATTATTTACTGCACAATATGTGAAAAAAATGTCAGCAACTCTTGTCTGTGGCCAGTTTAGATCTTTTATTCTTTTACCCAAGGAGTAGCAAACTGTTTTAACAAAATGGGCAATTATTAATTCTTCTAGTTTCTTTTTCCTGTCACTGCCTTCTTAGTCCAAGGAGATGAAAAAGAGTAATTTCACATATAGTTGCTGCTGATAGAAAGAAGTTGGAAGTTTTTTTTTCCCTGGGGACAGCTGAACGTTTCAGGAAAATACAGCTGAACACGGACTTGTTTGGAAAAGTCTAGAAGTTGAGTATTACACTGAAAATATTTTTAGATGTGATTTAAAAAGAGAGTAATTTCAACATTGTATTAGCTGTAATTCATTCATGTTTAAATGTTTTTAGAACAAAGTAATTATTTTTTACTGTGAATCATTCATACTAGTTGTAGTTCAAGAAGGGTGAAGTGTGTGTGTCTATGAAAAGTATTACTATAGATTAATACATTAACTCAGATATTTGGCAGTAATAATAGGGTGATGTGAACAGTCATAATTTGGCTGGCATGTCCTCCTAGCTACATAATTTAAGCTACTTAAGTAGTCAGTGATCAGATGTGAATTTGTCTAATCCTCTCGAAAGATAAAGAAGTCATCATCCCTCTCAGTGCTTGTCAGGCCACACCTAGAATCCTGTGTTCAGTTCTGGCCTGCGCTATATAAAAAATATGTGGACAGGCTGGAGAGGATCCAGGGAGGGGCCACAAAGTTCTTCAGAGGACTGAGAAGCCTAGTCTATGAGAAGATGCTGAGAGAACTGGGTTTGTTCACCCTGGAGAAAAGAAAACTTGGGAGAGACCTTATTGTCTTGTTCCAATACTTAAAGGGTGGCTACTAAAAGAAGATAAAGACTCCCTTTTTACAAGATGTAATGAGTAAAACACAAAGCGCAATGGGTGCAAGTTACTCCTGGGATGATCCTGATTGGATATTGGAAGAAAATTTTTTACTGTGAGAAAAGTCAGACATTGGAATCATCTCCCCAACACCAGACACTTTTAAGACTCAGCTTGACAAGGTGCTGGATCATCTCATCTAAACTGTATTCCTACCTAGAAAGGTTGGACCAGGAGATCCTTGAGGTCCCTTCCAACCTGTCATGATATGATTCTATGAAAGCATGTATAGTTTCAGCATTTACAGCACACCATGATAGTGAGTTAAACTCTAAAATATATTATTTCCTTTAGAATTCTGAATTTGCTGTCTGATAATTTTGTTTGTTTTCTCAGTTTCTACTTACGTAAGAAATAACAAATAATTATAACTTTTAAATTCACTCAGATCATTACTTTTATCCATTACTATTGTACACAATATACATTTATTGTGCAGATTACTTACTAATATTAACAGCTTAAAGTATACAACACCGAGTAATATTCATCCATTCAAAAAGCAACATTGATTACCACCATATACAATGAATTCCTAGGCTTCCTTGACCATAATTGATTTGGGTTTGAACCAGCATGGAAAAATTGGTCCGTATTTGAGAATGCCTTTGATACTACCTGATACTACCTGTCATTCTAAGTCTCCAGTGAGAGGAAAAAACAAAATCAAGCTGAACCATCAGTAGGATGGTAACATTTTTATTATTTCAGTTCTCCAACTGAATGCATTTTGAACATGGTCAGAAACATGCTAAATATTTTTAGGTAAAAATTTTATGTTAGAACATATTTGACTTTTTCTGTTACAAGTTAAGAGAAATAAAAGGGTAAAAGTACATTTTTGGTGCAACTGTGATTTGGAAGCTTTTCTAAATACGGTAGTTTTTCTTATCACAGTCTCCTTTAAATATGTAATTTCTAACTACAAATGTAATTTTCCCAGGAGTTTTAGCATGGGGACCATAGAAGCTACTTCCTTTTTTCCATAATGAAAAAAACACTCAAGAAATTGGAAAAATAGTTTGTGATTGTAGGTTTCAACATTTTAAAATAAATTTTAAAAGTTTTGGTAAAAATGTAAAGGAAAGGATGAAATGTGAGAGGGTTCCTTTGAGT